TTTTTTTTCTTTACAAAAAAGTTCCACTCAAATTATAAATAGCGTAAATACGTTAACCTCAAGATGATCTCATCCCCGAGTCTACGTCAATTAACTGAAGACGAAACTTTTAACGTACAAAAATGCGAGATGTAACAATTTGAATAATCTACGGTTATGGAAGTTACTCGCGTGTTGCTATGGTTCTCTTGGAATGAGTTAAGTAAAATATTTCTGTATGATGAAGTGTATGCCCTACTAGTGGTTCAGGAGTTATGATGAAATTCCTATTCTATCACATATTGGCATGTTAGGTGCAGTGAGCGATATGAAAAATTGAAAGTGAGGAACCAAGGTTACGGTTCTGTGATGGCAAGGACGTCACGAGCTCGGATGAGCCCGTAAGTTTAACAACCTCGATACCATTATATATATATATATATATATATATATACACACACACACACACACACACACACATATATATGATATGGTATTTTGAGTGGAACTTTTTTGTAAAGAAAAAAAAAATGGGGGTTTGAAAAATATGATTTTATATAGTTATTAATATCACTACTTTCGAATAAGTTTTAAATTGTACACACGAGATGAGAAAGCTTATGAATTTTCTTTATTGTAAAGATAAAAATTATTTTCTCACAAGACAAGATGGATATATTTTTACCATTTTAAAAAATTAAGCGTACGAAAAATTTTACTCTTTATATGAGAGTAGGAAAATTAGAAGTTGAGAAAATATATGTATCTTTACATGGATGTTTTAATGAAATAATAGTGTATGTATTTTTTATATGATACCACATGACAATGATAGTAGGGTATATATAAAGTGTATTAAAAGTGAATAGTATATCAAGTAATTTGAAAAAAATTATTAATTATGCGGGTAATTGGTTAATTATCGGGTAACGGGTCATTACCTAGTTAATCTATATATATATTAAAGCAAGAAAGTTTGCCTTCTCATTTAGCCAAGTGACATGTTATTAAAAAGCCAACATCCTATTAACATGACATTTGGCAACTTATTTCAACATAATTTTATCGACTTTTTTCTAGAAAATTTTCATTTTCATTACTTAATATGTTTTCAACTAAATAAATTTAAAAAAAAATACTAAAATTTGCAGAAGCACCACGTTTTCAACAAACGTATCGTCTTCATATTAAAGACAAGCTTCTTATCTCTATCTCTTTCTGAAAACGTTCCCAATCCCCACCAATGTTATATCACTTTGTCATGGAAGAGGAAAAGAAACTCAGCAACAACCAACAAGATCTGTTATACAAAATCATAAACGGCTAACACCTCCTCAGATCGGAATGTTTATTATCTAAAATTGTGGGATTTCTACTTGAAAAGGATTCACAATTTCCCAGCAACTATTACATTTTATCATCTCCAACCAAAATCCAATTCGAGGTATGTTTGAGCAGATGACTTCCTCCTTAATTTTAGATATAAACCCTAAATTAGTTGCTTGGAATTCAAATTTTTATTTGCCCAATTTTATGGCTGAATCACACATTTTCCGACTCTTTTTATGGAAATATATTTTTCATAGAGTTAAAGACCCTAAATTAGTTGCGTGAAATTTAATTTTCTATTTGCCCTTACATTTTATGGGCTAAATCACACATTTTCCGACTCTATTTATGGAAATTTCTTTTTCATAAAGTTAATGCCCCTAAAACACGTATTTTGTTTCTTATTTATAGCAAGTAAAAACATTATGTGAATCTATATTATATACTTTACATATATAGCAATTGAATTTTTTTGAATTTTTCGGCTCTTTTTTATGGAAATTTCTTTTTCATAATGTTAATGCCCCTAAACACACACGTATTTTATTTCTTATTTTAGCAAGTAAAAACATTATGCGAATATATATTATGTACTTTACATATATATTGTAACTGAATTTTTTTGAATTTAATTACTACTTATTCAGTATATATATAGCCGCACCAAGCATATACTTTAGTAAAAACAATCCTTTGATCAAATTTTCTCTAAGTCAAAATATGACGGCAAACTTTGACTGGTACGAATAGTGAGATTGTGGCACGTTCAGACCGCGATAAACCAGACAACACCGCCTCCCTTGAATTAATTATTCAAGAAGAAAAGGTGCATTCTTTTTTAGATTTATTTTTCCCTTAATTTGACTATAATATCCATCTTCTGATTTGCACTATGGAATTCATTAGGTTATGCGTGTATTAAATCAACTGCAATTTTAGTTTTTATGGTCCAAATGGAGATACCTCGAATTGTGAGTGAAGCTAACTCTTCATCTGCAATTTTGGTAGAAAAGTTTTTTGGTATACTTGAAATCGTTTGAAGTTTGTTCTAAAGAACATTTTTCATGTGCGAGAACATTTTTGTAGATCATTTTTCATGTCTAAGATTATTGATTTTGGACATCATGTTTTAATGGAATATAATGGTAATTTTCACAGTCTTATGCTTCCGTTGGACTATTTGTATTGTATACTTACCAACAATACTAAATTTGTCTTAGACTACTATTCGACTACTAACTTTAGTTTCTT